TACATAAAAAAAATTTAATTTCTATTACTTAAATTTTTATTAAATTTAAATTTAAGATTTTATATAAATAATATTTTCACCTTAATTTATTAATTTATTTTATTTAAATAAAAAAATTAAATTATCAAATAAATCAAAAATCCAGGTTAAATGTTAAATCCCTTACCATGTAAGCATGACATGGCAATATTTTGCCATCCAAGCAGCCAAGCGGGGTATCTGCTCAACGGCAGTTAAGTCAGGCGAGCAATCCCAAACGGCAGTTAAGTTGGTGTAAGAAGAAGGGCTTAATTGCTTTGATCCCAGAGTTCAAGGGCTTAACTGCATCAATTAAAGTTTAAGAGCTTAATAGCAATTCTGGGGTTCGTTCAGGGGCTTAACATATGGTTTTGCCTTAAACTTAAGAATCCGAATTAGTGCCGTCAACGGACTCATTAAATACTTAACAACTGTCTCTATTTATTTAGCATTTCTTGTGCCGTCGCCCAGTCGTACTTGCTGCCTTTGGGCAGCAGGTGATTTGTACTCTCAAATTAAATTACGGGTTCAATACGCTTCATTATTACTTCTAATATACTATTCTTTAATAATTGTCCTATAAAAAAAAAAAAAAAAAAATCTCTATTTAAACGTGAAGTTTGGAAAGGACCTCCCATCCCATGCTACCACCATTCTCCTGCACTAACGAGAATCTCTGTCCTTATCCACTGATAAAATTCACTATAGTACAGGTTTTGCAATGGAAAATTTGACGGTGGTTCTCCGAACAAGACGTCTTACTCGTGATGGGATTGACTCAGGCAGGGTCAGTGCCTCTAATAGGCACTTTGTTGAAGAAATGCCCAGGATTCGTCCAGGTCGGAAATCAAGACCGTTTCTGGCTAGGAATATGCCCGGGGGCCTCCTTTATCATCTTAAGTACAACAGGAGGATGGTGGGGCTACGTCCGAAGCAAACAATTACTGGCCTAAGGCGCTTCTTTCGAGAGCATGGTGTGCAACCGGGGGATCGAATTACTTTGTACAAGGCCGGGGGCAATCCGGTGACGTTGATGGGAACACTCATCTCTCCACTCTATGTCATCCACTTTGAGAGGGTCAACGAAGTTGCAGACCGGTGATCATCATGCTCTTCGAGGAAGCTGAATCTGCCTGTTAAAAGATCACGGAGTTATAGTTGTTTCGTTTTTGTTTGTTTGTTTGTTTTTTTTTTTTCCCTGTGTCTTCCTGTCAGTGGTTTTCCAATAATTGTAACACTCTAGTACCCGTCTCGGTGGTGTTCCGATAATTGTAACACTCTAGTATCCGTACAGAACGGAGCATCCTTTTTTTTTTTTTTGTTAATTATAGAAATTGTAAATCTATTGCCTGTTTGTATTTGTAAGTAATGGCACATGTTGATTGTTGAATACTCATTTTTAGAATGTATAATATTTTATGGGTCTCAGTCACGGACTTACGGGTGACCTACCCACTCTTTTCTACTCTTCTTTTGTACCCTTTTCTCTCTCTCTCTCTCTCCCGCTCTCTTATCTTCTTGATAGATTTTTGTTGAGGTGCTAATCGGTTGTGGGGAGGAGGGAGTTGATAGATCTGGGACGAGTCTAGCGACCACCAGCGAGGAAAGAGAGAGTGGGTGTGAAGGGGAACAATCGGATTATTGGGATTTGCTCATGGATCGAATAGGAGAGGGACGAAGAGGAACGGAAGACAGATGGAACGGCGGAAAGGAAGATCTGGTGTCCAATCGGGCGGTGGTGATGAGACCGGGCGGTGGTGATGAGACCGTCCGGTCGTCTGCCAAGGAAAGAATCGAAGGAGGTGGGGGATGTGGTTGAGCAGCGGGGGAGTCCTTCGCCCGCCCCCAACCAGCTAATATCAAGGGTGCAGCCTTGTGCTGCGTTGTTGCCACCACCGTTGCTTCTGAGCTCCGAGCAAATCTCTTTCTTTCAGATCTCCTTTGTTTAATTTTTCATTAGATTCATATCTTTATGTCTCCTGTTTGCAAATCATTTTGGTGGATTAATTTTTAACCAGTTTTATTCGGATCTAACCTTTAATTTGGTGTAGTTGATGTTAGAGCCGGAAAGGGAGGAATTAAAGTAGACAGAGAATAACCGGGAGAGGAAATGAAGTGTCCCTTGATTTTGGTTCTTTTTTTTTTTTTTTCCCTGAATTTAGCCTTTTAATTTCTTTTTCTTTTTTTTCTCTCTCTCTCTCTCTCAGATTTTTTGGTTGGTTCTAATGTTATTTTGTAAACCTGATCTTTTGCTTGACTGTTTATTCTGATGGTGCGTTATTCTTCTCTACGTAGTTCATTTTTGTTATTGTGTTCACTTGAACAAAGGAATGGGTTGCTATATTTGGGTTCTATTTTAGTGCTAAAAGGTAGTTTTCTCGAAAGTAATTTTTATTGGAGAGGGTTCTTTTCGTTGCTCTGTTGATAATTAGAGGGTGAGATTAGATTTCAATTTTTTTTTTTTTTTTTTTTTTTTATGTGATTCCAAGCCCAATGGTTTCAAAGTATATGTTCACTCTAAAATAAACAAATATTTTCCTGAGTGCTCTTGCTGTGTTTTTATCTATTTGGGTTCATTTATTTCCGGTATGAATTTCTTCCTTCTTATAAAATTTCAGTTTTTGGTAGGGACAAGGCTTAAGGGAAAGATTTTGCCTTCTGGGTATGGCCATTCACTGGGTTCACTGTTTTATTTACTGTGGTTGAAGAAATATTTGGTGTTTATTGATGATCACTGATGTTTGTCTCCAAAGGCATGAATTTTGTTTTGGTTTATCATGATTAGCTGTTGTTGACGTTTACTAATGGTCACTACATTTTAAGTTGGAAAATAAAAAGAAAAGAAAAGAAGCTTCTTCTTTTTTTTTTCCTAATAATCTTGCTTCTGTTGGAAATAGAGTTTCTTGATTTGTATTGTTTGTTTATTTTTTTTTTTTTTTAATTCGTAGCCATTTACTGCTGTCCTCTTGCTATGTTTTTTTCCTCCTGAGCTGACAACAGTCGACCTTTTATAGGCCAACCTTCATTTCTAAAACTTTTGCTTTGTCTTTGTTTTTGTTATTACGACTAGGGACAGTCTGGTGTTCTTGCAAAACTGATTTATCAAGTTCCCACAGTACAGGAATAGAAGTAGCTATGTTGGTATTGCAAATTTATTACTTCACCTCTTTCATTAATTAAACGTGTTTGACATCGATCAATATTAATTAATAGTTATTTTGGGTCCAAAACCCAGGTCATCATTATGTAACCCATTTAGCTGAACTTATGCTTGAGTTCAACAAGAAGGAGAAGTTGTTTAATTTAAAAGGAATTATTGTATTGATATAACAACTTTTAAATCTTTAAATTTATAACCATGGAAAGATTTGAAATATGCTTCTTTGTTGCAACCGGGCAATCCAAGTTTAGAATTTGACTTCTCATATTCAGTTTCTTTCTCTATTTGGCAATTTTGTGAGTTTTGCTTGGTTATGTTATCATTGGTCATTGTTGATTTTGAAATGCTTTGTTACTGCTTAATGGTTTAAATAGGTTGTGTTAATTGGTTTTCAACTATTTAAAATTAATGATAGTTTGATTGTTGAATTCACCCTACTCACTTAGGCATGGTTGCTTTACCATACTTTGATGAAAATTGTTCCTTTAACAACAGATGTGCTCAGTATCCGGTATATTTTTCCTCCCTCTCTTGGTCTTTGGTTTTTGCTTTCTTCGTTTTAGGGTTACTTTGTCTTGTTGCACTATTTGTTGGTTATAATTGTCTTTCTTCTTTCATATGACAATTTTCAATGTTTGGAACAAGTAGAGGTGTGCAAATGGTTGGTTAACCAAATATTGATTAAAAATAATTAAATGGTAAAATGTATTTGATAATTGGTTTATTTATTTATTTATTTTTGGTTTTAATTATAATTGAAAAAAAGTTTAGTTGACTATTGAGGTCTTATCATAAGACCATCCTTTTTCATACACAAGTCTTAATCAAGACTTAGGAACAGGACCTAATTTTTAAGTCTTGATTAACACTTCTGTATAAAACAAAGGATTAAGTCTTGATTAAACATCTGTATAAAAGTAGAGGATTTTATACTATGTAGGTCTTGTTCCTAAGTCTTGATTAAGACTTCTGTACAGAAGTAGAGGATCTTATAATGTGATGATTACTTTTGCACAAAACTAATCATGACATTATAAAATCCTCTAGCTTACTAGAAGTAGAGGATTTTATAATATTATTTAACACTCATCCCTATCATAAATGTGGGTAGGGTAGGAGTGGGCCAGCACGTTTGCCCCTTATTCCAAGAAAACAAACAACAAAACGCGTACATCCGCTTATAAATTGACCCATTTAGGTTCTCACACTTCATGCTCCCTAACCTTTCAGTAACTACTTCACCATAGTACAGGTTTTCCAATGGAAAATTGGACGCTGGCTCTCCCAACAAGAGCTGTTACTCCTTATGGAATTGCCACAGGCAGGGTCAGTGCCTCCAATCGGCGCTTTGTTGAAGAAATGCCCAGGATTGAACCAGGTCAGAATTCAAGACCGTTTCTGGCTTGGGATATGCATGGGGGCCGCATTTGTCACCTTAAATACAACAGGAGAATGGTGGGGCGCCGTCCGAAGCAAACAATTACTGGCCTAAGAAGCTTCTTTCAACAGCATGGTTTGCAACCAGGGGATCAAATTACTTTGTACAAGGAGGAGGGCATTGAGGCGATCTTGATGGGAGTACTCATCTCTCCACTCTATGTGATCCACTTTGAGAGGGTTAACGAAGTTGCAGCCGGTGAAGATCCCGCTCCGTTGCAGGCTGGTGATGATCATGCTCCCTGAGGATTAACGAAGGTGTTTTCTGGTAGATGCTTTTTTTTTTCTTTTTCTTTTTTGGTTTTTTTCACGTCTTTCTGTTGTGGTTTTTCAATAAATGTAATTCTCTGGCCTAAGACGCTTCTTTCAAGAGCATGGTTTGCAATCTGCGGATCTAATAACTTTGTACAAGGAGGAGGGCAATGAGGTTATCTTGATGGGAAAACTCGTCTCTCCACTCTATGTGATCCACTTTGAGAGGGTTAACGAGGTTGCGGGCCGCTGAGGATCATACTCTTCGAGAAAGCTAAATCAGCCTGTTAAAAGATCAAGGCCTTTTCTGTTAGTTTTTTTTCTTTTTTTTTTTGGGTCTTTTCCACGTCTTGCAATAGTGGCTTGTTTGGGGTTTGTTTGTAGTGGTTTTCCAATAAATGTAATGCTCTGGTCTGGTCCCGCCGTCCCGGTCAGATCCGACCTGTATGTATTTAGTAAAGGTTAAATGCTAGTTTTGGTCCCTCAACTTTAGTGGTTTGCACATTTTTGGTCCCTTAACAATTTTTTGCACTTTTTTGATCCCTCAACTATACGAAATGCACTCCGTTAGTCCTTCTGTTA